GGGTCTGGCACGTGGTGTGCTGGTTAAGGTATTGGACTCCCACATGGCTGACCATGGTTCGAGTCCTGGACCTGGTGGCTGGCATTCTCATTCTCTCTCGTCATATTAAAATGAGTGAATGAATGAATAAATAAATAAAATTAAATAAACAAATCTTTTTTTAAAAAAGTGTTCCTATAAAGTTATATTAGTAAAATGACAAATTTAAATTCAAGAAGCAGGATGTTCTCTGCTCTGGTGCCTTGTATATCAGAGTGGCTTTCCAAAAGTAAAAGTACTGCGCTTCCTGTCCACAGGCGCTGGCCAGGGACAGTTTGCTGGCTAATGGTTTTTTAACAGGGCCATAAATAATGTGTTCAAGGGCGATATACATTTTTCTTATTTCAAACAACATTGTATATAACATTATAGTATTTTAGCTATTCTGATGCTAAGTGGTTTAAAAAGGTAGATTTTTTTGTCTTAGACGTGCTTCAAGAAAGAAACATAATTTTCACAAGTATCTCCAAATAAGACAACTAATCCTTGAAAAGATTTTAAGACTAAATATCGTATCTGTTTTCATTTTTGCCAGGAAAAGGAACCTCTTCGTGTAATACCACTTAAAGAGGTTCATAAAGTCCAGGAATGTAAGCAGAGGTAAGGAACAGCTCTGACTTGCTGCTTGGCGTAATGTAACAATACAGAATAGTGCTTTATTTGTTTTTTTTTGTTTTGTTTTGTTTTGTTTTGCTTTATTTGTTTGATTAATGTGCTTGTAGAAAATATTTCTCTGTATTAGTTCTAGTATCATTTTTAACTCTTTATAGTTAGGATGTGCTAGAATTTTCAAAACCCTCAGATTATAGTATTGGAATATGTTTTACTTGAAAACTAAAAATTTAGAAATAGCTTATTAATGGAAAGAGAAAACTTCAATATGAAAACGTATACCATCAGTTGACAAATTGAGGTATTGTTATTTTAGTATTTGAAAGGTGCTGTATGATAGTGCATTAAAAGGAAATATTAGCAGGAACTAGCAGTTAGCGTAATGGCTATGTCGCTGGACTCCCACATAGTCGACCGCGGTTCACGTCCCGGACCCGGTGGCTTAAAACTCATGCCGGGCGCGTGTGCGTGCGTGCCCAAGATCCCGAGAGGAGAATGGTGATTTCTCTCTTTCTGTCTCTATGTCTCTCTCTGGCGAGTGCACGCGCCCTATACTGAAAAACCTCTCCAAAAAAAAAAAAAAAAGGAAATGTTAGCTATCCCATTGTTTCTTTGAGCAAACCCATGAAAAAAGATGATAAAATTTGGTTTATTAAATCAGTGTTTATCTGTAATATTTATTCATTGACATATGTTAAGTACCGAGTAAACAAGTGAAAGAGAAATTATCAAAGAATTGCTATTTAAGTATAATTGAATAATTTTTTTCTATAACAGTGACATAATGATGAGGGACAACCTTTTTGAAATTGTAACAACATCACGAACTTTCTATGTGCAGGTAAGTTCTTATTTGGCAATGATCCTCCTAATAAGTTAATAATTTTTGGGACCAGCAGATGGTGTAGTGGTTATGTCACTGGATTTTCATGTAGTTGACCACTGTTTGAGTCCTGGACATGGAGGCTTAAAACTCACGCTGGGCACGTGTGCATGCGTGCCCAAATCCTGAGAGGAGAATGAAGAGAAGGTATTGTAGTGTGGCCATTCCCCCGGGGGGGTGGGGGGGTGATTTCTCACTTTCTGTCTCTCCAGTGAGTACACACACACCCTATAGCAAAAAATTTCTCTAAAAAGAAATAAGTTGATAATTTTAGAAATGAAATAAACATAAACTTGTCACTTTTGAAGCTAAAAGAAATATGACAACTGTAATTCATCACTTATATGTAGGGTAATTGTTAGGTTATATTCAAGAAATGAGGGTATTCTTTCTTAAAAAATTGTGAAATAAAACTAAGTATTTAGAGGAAAAGAAATGCTATTTTAACTTAGATGTTAAGTGCATATCTTCAAACTGGATTATTTTCAAACATATTGTAGAATTTTGATTTTTCCGTTACCTGGTTTTTTGTTAATTTTATACAAAGGTTTTATGCAAAACCCATAGTGAAAGTAGACAGCAGATCTTACAGTTTCACTAATGGTAGTATGTTACTTTTAAATTTAAAATGTACTTTTTGCTTACCTTATTGAATTATTTAGAGGTTTATTTATTTTTTTTTAAAGGTTTTTGCTATTAGGGGCATGCACTTGCCAGAGAGAAGGAAAATGAGAAATCACTCCCTCTGGGGGATGGCCACTCCACAATCCCTTCTCCTCTATCCTCCTCTCAGAATATAGGGCATGCATGCACACACGCCCAGTGTGTTTTTCCAGCCACCAGGTCCAGGACTTGAACCACAAAGTTGGCAATGTGGAATCCAGCACCTTAATCACCACACCACCTGCTTTCCCTAAATAGGCATTATTAATTTAAAAAGAAAAAAATACATATATATGTATCTTTAAAAAAGTTAAATACTCCTATTGCAAAAAAATTTTTTTCAAAGACTTATTTTATTTATTTATTTTAATTTGACCAGAGAGGGACAGACGGGGGTGGGGGAGGGAGGGAAAGTGAGAAATCAAGCTGTCAGGTCCAGGACTCAAACTGCAGTCAACCATGTGGGAGTCCAGTGCCTTAAACCACCGTAGCACCTGCCAGCTCCCTAAAAATCTGAAAGATGAAAAAAAGAAGTTAGAAATATGTGGTTTTTAAAACATACAATCTTATATCCAGGCAGTCATTTTTATTGTTTGGTACCTTCTTTTTTTATAAAAGAATTATTTATTTAGGGAAGCAGTTAGCGTAATGGCTATGTCACTGGACTCAAACATAGTCGACCGCGGTTCGCATCCCGGACCCGGTGGCTTAAAATTCATGCTGGGTGCGTGTGTGTGCCGTGCCCAAGATCCTGAGAGGAGAATGGAGGAGACGGGATTGCAGCGTGGCCAACCCCCCTGGGGGGTGATTTCTCGCTTTTTGTCTCTCTATTTCTCTTTCTGGCAAGCACATGCGCCCTATAGCAAAAACCTCTCCAAAATTTTTTTAAATTTAATTTTATTTATTATTAGTGGTGTTTTTAGTTACAATTTTCTATATGGCATGTGTACTCATCAGAGAGAAAGAGGAAGCAAGCCACAAGGTCCAAGACTCAAACTGTGGTTAGCCATAAGTAGTCCATTACCTTAACCCCCATGTCACCTACTGGCCCATTTGCTGCCTTACTTAAGGCAAATCTTTTCATAGTAGGAGTCATACTAAGCATAGCGTTAACATCCTCTTTTTTCATGTTGTCATTTTTTCTGATATTGAAAAAATTTTAAAAACCTTTAGAATTTTTAAACTGTCCTGGGACCAGCAGATGATATAATGGTTTTCACCACTGAACTCTCACAGGGTTGGCCATGGTTCAAGTCTCAGACCCAGCACCTTGAAACTCATGCCAGCTGCATATGTGTGCATGCCCAAGATCCTGAGAGAATAATGGAGAAGGGATTGTGGCATGGCCATTCCCCCCCAGGAAGGGGCATTTCTTCCTTTCTGTCTCTCTCTCTGACGAGCACATGAACCCTATAGCAAAAATCTCTCTAAATAAATAATAAATAAATAAACTATTCTTCATTGTATAACTGTTCCACAAATAAAATTTCTCTCATTCTGTTACTGAACATTCATTTACATAGTTTTCATACATTTACTGTGATAAATACTGTGATGATGAACATCTTTGTGCATAAATTGCCTAAATTTCTCAGGAGCTTAGTGGTTAAGGTACTGGATCCCCACATGGCCAATCGCAGTTCGAGTGCTGGGCCCAGTGTCTTGAAAATCACATAGGCATGTGTGCCTGTGTGCCCATATTTCCAGAAGGGTGGAGAAGCGATTGTGGCTTGGCCATACCCGCAGGAAGTGATTTCTCACATTCCCTTTCACTGTCTCTCTCCAGCAAGTACATGTGCTCTTTGTCAAAAACATTTTTAAAAATTGCCTAAATTTCTTATTTTCTCAGGATAACCTTCTAGATTGAGATGAACTGTCAGAGCATGAACCTTTTTTACCTTCACATACTGAGTTTTGGAATTATATTCCTGTTAGCGGTGAAGGAACATATACTCTGAGTTTTATTTTATTTTTTTACTCTTCAGTATCATTGTTTCAAAAATACTATCCTGTCTCTTCAAAATTTTTGGACTTACAGATTCTAGAAGTAAGAGATTCTAGAATGTTGGAAGTTCTAAGTAAAGGGTGGTAGTATCTCTGTACCCCTCTTACAGCTTTAATTAATTGGATTAATTTCATGATAAAGTTTATTTATTTATTTACTTTTTTATTGCTGGGCTAGGGAGAGGATGTGAGAATGTACTCCCCAGTGGAATGTGGTCACACCATAGTCCTTTTTCCTGCATTCCTTCTTTCTGTCAGGATTTTGGGCATTATGCACACTCGCCCAAGCATGTTTTTCAAGTCATGGGGGCTGAGATTTGAATTGTAATCAGCTATGTGGGATCTGGTTCCTTATCCATTGTGTTATGGAGAGGGCCCTCAGTGTTTTAAATTCACATTGGTAGCCAGTTCTGTCAAAGAATATTATTTACATATTCTGGAAGAATGTTTTTAAAATTACACAATTTACATGAATATTCTTGTAGCAAATCAAATAATGTAGCAGGAAATAGAACAAAATGAGAAGTTTTTTTTTTTTTCTCCTTGTTTTCTCCCTGGACATATTTATTAATGACACTGTTTAGTGTGTCTGACCTTGAAGCATTAAGTACCCGACTTATACTTTGTGTAGTAACTTACCCAGCAAAGTCTGGTTTAAAAAAGTGACTTCTAAAATTCTTTGAAAACCATTGCTTTAGAATGATTTTGTTGGTGATAGTGTAAGTTCCAACATAAATTTATAGATGTAGTAGGTGATTTTGAGGAAAAACTGACTGCAAGACTTCTTTTTTTCTTTCAGGCGGATAGTCCTGAAGAGATGCACAGTTGGATTAAGGCAGTCTCTGGCGCCATTGTAGCACAGCGGGGACCCGGCAGATCAGCGTCTTCTGTAGGTTTCCTGCTCTCCGGGCTGATAATCCCATGGGTCCCCCTATCCTGTCAAGTTGTTTTCCTTTCTCTCCCCCTAATCGTTCTGGTTTCTTTCTCTATTGAGATTTTTTTGCATGTTGACTTTCATACCAATTGGACTTGGCAAAAAATAATACATTTCTAATTTAATGCTTCCTTGTAGTGTTACATATACATAACTTTCTGTGCATTGTATTGTGTTAAATGCACAAGCAGTGCAACTAAAGAATAAACATTTCCTTGCTTTGTTTTGGTTCTTACTTGTCAGTAGGTCTAGATTTGGTACAGTTTGACAGATTCTTAGTATTTCATGTGCCCTGATCATGTAAGGCATCTTTAATTGTGTTACACTTTTCTTTCGTAAACAACAATTACCTCTTCAATTTTGATCAAGTTTTGTTTTAATGTAACTGCTGTAAGACCACTAAGCAGGTAGAGCCTTAAGTGCAGTTTAAGACCCCAGTCAGTATTTTGTATTTCATATTTTTATTCTCTTTTTCTAGCTGAATAATACAAAAGTCTGCTTCTGAAAACTACCATAGTTAATCTCTGCAGTAGTATGTTAATAAAATTAAAACAACTAAGCGGGACCAGCAGTTAGCATAATGGCTATGTCGCTGGACTCCCATGTAGTCGACCTCGGTTCGCGTCCTGGACCCGGTGGCTTAAAACTAATGCTGGGCGCATGTGCGTGCGTGCCCAAGATCCCGAGAGGAGAATGGAGGAGAAGGGATTGCGGTGTGGCCATCCCCCCT